TTTTTAAACCCGTTACGGCGTTACGTTTTGATTCAAATGTGTACCTACCTACCTAAATCTAACAATTTTTCAGACAACCAACTAGCAGTGGCGTATTTACGGGGGGGGGATCATTGGGTTTGATCCCCCCCAAGGCTTGAGTTGAGTTTTTTTTTTTTTTTTTAAATCTAAATTAGACGATAGTCCGGGAGCCGTCGAAAGAGTGAGGACTGAGGAGAGCGCGAGAGCAGCTGCTGGCTTATTTTGTAGTATTTCTGGACATTCTACTGGTAAAGAAAAATTTATCCTTAAAAAAAAAGGAGTAGAGAATAATATACAATCTTTATGTGCAACTATTCCTAAATTGTTACATAATGGATCATTAGAAATTAAATCTGCCAAGTTTGTTGATGTGCAATGCCTAGCATCAAAGTATGTTCCACCTGAATACATTTGGTTCTATAGATCTTTAGTTGAAGAAACCAGTTCTAATCAAGATAACAATGGTACTTTATCCAATGATGAAGATGACTAGGTATTAAAAATTGTTACTCAGTTTTAATATTAATATTAAAGAAAATATATTTTAGAATATTAAGAAATCAAAATGATTATTAGTTTTGTTTTATTAATTTTATTGTTTTGAAGTATAATTTTGTTTAAGATTTCAAATTTGAATTATTATGAGTGATATTATTTATTATTTTTATTATAAAATTTAAGAATCGAGGAGATTATTAGTTTTGTTTTATTAATTTTATTGTTTTGAAGTATAATTTTGTTTAAGATTTCAAATTTGAATTATTATGAGTGATATTATTTATTATTTTTATTATAAAATTTAAGAATCAAGGAGATCATTAGTTTTGTTTCAAATATTTTACTGTTTAACTATGATTGATAAAAAATCAAGTTAATTAATAGTTTTGTTATAAATATTTCATTGGTTTTTATTATTTTATTTGTTGTAAGATATTATATGTAATGACTGATAAAATCAAGCTGATAAATAAAATATCCATGTTACTAATATTTTTATTTTACTATCTTTTACCATGTTCATATCATTTATAATGTAGTTAAATGTGTTTACATTCTACTATGACTAATATTATTACCTATCGCTATCTTTAAGGTATGATAACCAGTTTTTATGTAAAATTAAATGAATAACAATTTAATTGTTCAGTTAACATAATACTAAGTGATTAAAGTAGAAATATTACTGATCTGATGAATAAACAAAATTCATAAAGTAATATATTTAAACTATATATAGCTAAATATTATTAGTGGAAAAACTTATGACTTCTATACACTTACTAAGCTTATTTTAATACATTTATTTGTATATTTATCAGAGTTAAAACTAAAAACAATAAATCATTTTTGGAGTTATCTTGTTTATTGTCCAGAAATTATAACTATTTTTTTGTTTATTTTTAAAATCATGTACAGGTTTAGTTTTTTTTTCTTATAACTCAAGTATGCTGTTTGATAGTATAATTACATGATAATTATTAACTCAGTTAATTAAAAAAAACTAATTCTTAGTAAGATTTTTACATTATAAAAAAAATAAAAAAAAAAGATTTAATAACTCCGAGCAATAAACAAGACAACTCCAAGAAAAATTTCTTATTTGTGGCTAAAGCCTAAAAGTGTAAAAAATATTCATGTATCAACTTAATTAAGGGTACCACAGTTTTTATCACTATTTTAAGTATATAAAATAATTTTTCTTTTTATTATTCTTCACTTAAATATATATTAAACATTAAATATGTGCTTCCTGAAAAAAATGATAAAACGGAGCTGTCTGGTTATTGCACAGAGCCCTTCAATTGTCCAAAACATCTAGAAAACTAGACTTTGTTTTGTAAAATAAAAATAAAAAAAATTGTAGTAATATTGTAGTTTTATATTTAAGTATTTAAAGTTAGGGGGTGAGGGGGGCGGAGCCCCCCTCGAGTTGATAAGTACTGGATAAAATCATATCCCCCCCCCCATGACAAAATCCTAAATACGCCACTGCCAACTAGCAAGTAAAACTATGCAAATACACGGACCCCTGAGCCTCAGTCTCTTTACAATTATACAGGCCTATGACTTATCCAAGGTGTCATAAATCGCAATGACAAATTACGTGAAATCACAATTCAACAACAGGGGGTGTACGGTTTCATTATGTTTGAGCAACATGTATATAATATTATATAAGCAGTGTCGGCTTGGCATATAAAAGGCCTCGGCTGCAATTTTTCTCTGGGGCCTCGATTTTTTTTCTTCATTTACTATATATGAACAAAGTCGTTCCTAGAGTTGTTGTATATCCCCCCCAGCCAAATTGTTAATGAATTATTTTTTGTAAACTAACTTATGATATATTATGTCAGAATTCAGTTTTTTTCTTATGAATAAAAATAAAACATGACTATAGTTGTATGATTAAAGTGAAACCTGTATAGGGAACAGCACCGTTTGATGGTGACCGTTAAACGCCAATTATTAACGCTGACTTTTACCTCCCTCCCACCACTCACCAAATAGTCGCTCGATTAAAATTTTTCCACTTTTACAATTCTCTACTAAAACCAAGTATTAACTTCTGACGTGCTTCATGATACACCTGATTTTAATAAGTTACTAAACAAAATGTAATTCAAATTACGAAAAAGTTATCATCCAAAATATAATAAAGAAGACGAACAATGAACAAAATTTGACACAACATTATTTTTAAAGAAAGTAATAGCTAAATATAAAAAACTTAAATAGGTACTAAATGAGCAATTCATGTAACATTTTAGATGACTTAGCTATAGTATTAATAATTTGAGTTTTCTGAATCTTTTTCAATTGCAATAACCATTAAAGGCGATAAATGTTGTTGACTTATTGTTGATCTGATTTTAGACTTCACAAGTTTCAGTTTAGAAAATACCCTTTCACAAGTCACTTGAGTAGAGGGTAAAATTAATACATATTTATAAACTGTAAATAAATTATGAAATGAGTTTGAATGAAATGAAAGTTCTTTAATTACTTAACTTAATTGTTCCTACTTCTTCATTTCGATATAGCGCTAATGATAATAATTGATTAGACAATTTATCAAACCTATTGTACGGCCATACAGGGGCCCCACACATAGACGTTATTGACTTATTGTATTTGTACTCGTTACGATTTTCCCGACAATTTTGTTGTACCTGTGGACTGTGGGCTATAGCAAACCCTGTTGTACAAAAAATCTTATGTGCGTTCAAATCATCTCGTTTATCATTACATTTGTACTACATCTTATACGAGTAAACAGCACACCGCACACGTATACACCATGACAAAATATAGATTCTATTATATCGTACTAGATAGTAGGTACGTGTTTGTAGTGATTGTACACTACACTCAAATTCTATAACTTATACACAGGGCCGGATTTAGGATAGTGGGGGCCCTAGGGCCCATCATATGGCCATATAAGGTTGACATATAACTTACTGCATAAGCTGAAAGGTAATTATCTCGCGTGGGGGCCTCTTATTAATTGAATCTTGTGGGGCCCCGGGCCCCGTGGGCTCTCTCTAAACCGGCCCCGTTTATACACTTCGTCAGTAGCACAACTAGGCCAATTGTCACTTTCAATGAAGGGCTCTATTAAAGTTTTATTAAAAGTTTTCTACGATTATTTTTGTGAATAAAAATTGGGGTGGTCATATTGATTGTAAAAATTGTTATCCAAATCTAATATGCAAAAACAATATTTTTAGTTAAGACTTAGGCTGGGGCACCTTTAGCCTGTGGGCCCCAGTGATCGACACTCCCTCGTTCATCGTCGTACATTTAATTGTACCGTATATTTGACGCTTTGTTGACTACTATACGTTGGGGTGGTGGTCCTGGCCACTATTTATAAACTAAAAAAAAAAAAGCTCAGGGCCTCGGCCGCGTTTGCGGCCCCGGCCAGGCCGACACTGTATATAAGTAGGCCTTATATTAGTAGGTACCTATATTATATAATCACACCTCATTTCTCAAACAAAAACCAATGCGGCGAAAGCTACAATGAATAATTTTGAATGGTATTTCCGCTTATATTGGTTTTTGGTATACCAAGTACAATAAGGTACCTCCGCCCGCTAATATTTGTTCATTCTATAAAAGCATTTAAAACGAGCGAAAGTAGAATTATTAATTATTTAAGACTGAAGTTTTCAAGATAGGAAGTAATTAAATTTTTGACTGATTTCCTTTAATAATAGTTGATTATCAAAAATACGAAAGATAGGTGTTATATAGGTACCTACTCATATACATGGTAGGCTGTAGGTTATAAACCTACACTAGTACGAGCGGTACAAATACACAGTAAAATAGTATTTATCAAACAACTAGTATAAAATCATAATATAAAGGTACTATTAGACATTCATCAATCATCAGTAATTACAAAACTATAAAAACTTCTATTTTTATTTTTTTTGACAAACAATTAAAACCGGCAGTTTCGTATAATAACTAAAAATACATATAATATAATAATATATAATGCATTAATGCAAAGTTCGCATAGCCGCGTAAAATGATATAATTGTTTAAATTATCTGAATAGTGAATATTATTGTCGACTGTCGAGGTAAAATCCCTTAGAAATTATAAACTTTAACTAAATAAATAGGTATTGGTTTTATTTTGATAAATAAATAGTTTGTAGTAGATACGAGGTAATCTACCTACTATACAGGCTTAACCGTACACCTCCGTGATTTTTTTAAAATTATTTAACATTTTTATCTTAGGTAGATTGCAGATTTGTTTATTTTAATATGTATATTTTATTAAAATTTGAATAGCAAAAAAAAAAAAATTAAATGATTGAATTTTATTTTTATATACCTACCTACTATGCTTATACCGAGCCATTGTAGTCTACAAGGTAGGTAAGACTAGTTTTTCTAACGTAAGAGCAACGTATTTGTATTGCTCCTTAGTACAACTATAGGCTATGAAGTAGGTATTTAATAAGAAAATTTAGAAAAAAAAAAACGTTCAATAATTAGAAAAGCTTTCTGATAAATGTATATGTTTTCATGTGACTGCAGCCATTCTATTTTGTCCAGACCATAGCATTCTTCTAGCAATATAGCATACTGATTAACAGCACCAGTTTGTCTAGCTAATTGTTCACCTAACTTAAGAATGTTTTCTAGACCATTCAAAGCCACTTGGATAATTTTTACATCTGTCACTGTCAGGAGATCACACAATGCAGGGATACAATTCTAAAAACACAAATATGAAAAATAAACAACAAAATATTAAAACAATTTTTAATAAAAGTACATACTTGATCGGCCATATATTGAATTTGTTCTACCGTTCCTCCAGAAGTAGTATTTGTTATTGCCCACGCAGCGTCTTTTCTTGTCTTAAACTCAGCCGTGGCCATAATATGTATGAGTGCAGGGAATATATTTTCATTCAAAACAGCCTATTAATATACATAATAACATTCATTCTATCAGTATTCAAGTTTTAACTTGTTATTATTAAATGTCTCACTTGTATTTGGTTTTTATTTCCAGCAGTAATATTAGAAATTGCCCAACAGGCCTCTTTACGGATAGTTTCTTTGGGTGATCCCAACAAGCTAAGTAAGTTAGGTAAGACCGAACAATTTAGAATGACTTGTGTTTGAGCATACATTTTACAGGATAACCCAGTACCACTTAATTTTAAATACTTATAAGTTATAACGCATAGACTACTCACGTCTCACACTAAATTCGATTTTTATGTATCGAAATACTTAGAAAAATATTCTACTTTGGAATATGAAATTTAAACTCTATGTCGTCGAAAATAAAATAAAAAAATTAGAAGGATAATTTTTTAATAACAAAGTTGTTTTGTAAGCGACTCGAAACTATGTAAAAAATATTTTCAAAAACAATTACACTTTTTTAAATAATGAGCGTTCAATTTTAAATAAATTGCCCAGTCGTATAGTCTCTCGGGTAAACACAAACGTTAACGAAACTATAAAAGGGCTATACCTACTCATGTCTTCATAAGGTACCAACCCACCCACGTATAGAAAAATCTCAGGTAAGGCTAAATCCCAATCAGCCCTACCCGTGCGCGCGCCTATGATAGACATGCGTGTTATACGTACATGTTATGATTAGTGCTTTTTTCGCTATGGCAATTTTCTACGATAAAATGTTAGTAGTATTGCCTACTAGTAAAAAAAAAAGAGCTGGCCAAGGCATACAAATAATAATATACGTCGTACGTATTACCCAATGGAGGTCTACGTGTTTCCGCAGCGTTTTCCTTCAGATCTTGCCTGTCGGTGTGGCTCACCGCGGGAGGGATTTTATTACTCCATTGTACTTTTGTGTACGACGTATATTATTATTTGTATGCCTTGGCCGGCTCTTTTTTTTAATCAGTATGTCATAAGGTGAATACTGCACTATTATGATTAATATTATTACTTATTATTATATTTATATTTACCCACTGGTAGTGTGGCGTGTGTACATCACGGGGTGACGAGAGCTCCCTTCGAAATAGTTACCATAGTATATTAACATTACCATAGTATATTTTATCCGATACCTATTATTATACTTGCTTTTTTTATTAAACGCAGTCAGTTTTATGGGAAATATAATAATATAGTAGCGAAAATCATCATTCGATGATCTATAGGCGCACGACACTTTCTGAGCATTTGGCTACCGCTATACATAGACCTATTATACGAGCATAATATTATAATAATAAATCGATCGACGACCGGTCAGAGCCTCGGGTGAAAAATATGAAAAAAACCGTCTTTCATTCACCGCGATCGTGGTTCGGTCGGTATACCTACCCAACCTATACATATATATATATTTATATACCCCCAATACTACCGGCTTATACCTACCTATAATCATCTCGAAATTATTATTATTAGAACAAAACAAATCGTACTATATATAACTATTATAATATTAAATGTATACAATATAAGTAGGTACGTCATTATCCAAGTCTCTAGGTAAAGGCGTAAGAAATTCGGTAAGACCAGTGAATGCGCGAAACGTCGTCGTAGACACTAGGTAACAGGTATATACCAGAGGTATATATATACAGTAGAAGCCGCTTATTAGAAACACTTTGGGACCAAAGTGAAATAATATGTCAATTAACCGATTGTTTCTAATAAGCGATTTGTTAGATATGTACTATGAAAAAAAAAATGAAAAATACGCGGAAAATGTATTTATGTATGTATTTATTTAACTATATGTATGTATCATGTATGTATGTATATGTATATTACGATTTTCATATTTAAAATATTTATCTTACTAATTACTATATTACATATTAAAAATATTTAACTTACTAATTACTATACTACATATTTAAAATATTTATCTTACTATATTATTTAAAATATTTATCGATCGAAGTTTGTTTTTTTGCGTCAAGTAACTCCATAGACCATAACCATATTTTCATACCTATGAATGCTGCTCAAAACCTATTTCATCCGCACGGTGCTGAACAACTCTCCTATGAGGACACTTGAAGCTTCTACAATTTCCCTGTTTGATGGCGATTGGCGGTGCCAGGGGTGTCTCGCTGTTTTCTTCTTCATCGTCAGTATTGGCCCGTTCAATTGTTTGGGGATTCATTACCGCATTACAAATCTCTTCTTCTGTTTGAATCTCTACCACATCGAGGTGTGAGTCCACATCAACTTATCGCCATAAACTTCACCTGAGAGATAGACTGGTTTTTCAGGCAAACTATGTTCGTGTTCGTCGTCTGTTTTGTCATCTGTTTTGAATCCACTGTGACGAAAACAATTTCGAATTGTCTCCACACTTACTTTATTCCATGCTTCTTTTGCTAGATGAATAGCATCAAGAACGCACGGATAACCGGTGTATATGTCAAATGACCTCCGCCTAATTGTTTCAAATAACCGATGTAATGTTTCAATAATCCGATTTATTTTAAATGTCCTAATATACGGGTGATCCGTCCCGGTACATTTTGTTTCAATAACGCGATTGTATCAATAATCCGTGTTTCTAATAAGCTGTTTCTACTGTATATATATAGAGAGAGAGATACTTCTACTTACTGCATACATTATGATTGTTGTATACGCGTGTGTGTTTTTACTGTGTACGTCGCGTTACGATAGTGAGTACTTACATATATATATATTCGTAGTATAGCCATTAGCCAGTACCCAGTAGGTGTATATGCGGAAGTATCACGAGCGCTTCCCCGCAGTAAGGCATTTGGCTGGCTTATCATAATATAATAACGTTATCATAGAGTTAATCTACGACAACAGTTAAATTTTTTCTGATCCTATCTAAAAATAATAATTATAATAAAATTGGTTTTTTACGCTTAATTCAAGTATTTGAAAAAATTTCCGGAAACTTCAAAAGTTATGGCAATTCAAAGTTGTCAATATTAAAAAATATAGGTACTTTTGAATGGACGAGCGAGTGACCACGCTGGGAATAAATATACTTAGAAACCATATTGAGGAAAACCGAGGTTTACCTGAGGTAGTTCACACAGCAAATGGGGGGATATTTTCGATTTGCGGAGCGGAGCGACGGCGCCGAGGAGCGTAGCGACGAGTGCCGATACACGCGTAATCGCTGCAACTTTGATATGCCATAACTTGTGAGAACAGTGAGTTTCCGGAAATTTTTGTAACTGGGAAACGGTGTAGCTGGTGGTACGCAAATTTAAAAAGTTTGAGAACCGCTGGTCTAAAGCCCTGTTCACACGATCAAATAATTTGTCAAATATTTGACATTCGTCAAACTCCAAATATTTTAGACCATTTCTAAAATATTTGAAGTTTGACATACATCAAATATTTGACAAATTATTTGATCGTGTAAACGGGGCTTAAAGAAACTAAAAATTATACAATACAAACTATTACAAATAATACATTTCTATGTATCAAAATTAGAAAATTCTGAATTTTACATATATTTATATATTTTTTAATTCTATGTTAACGTTATTATTTGATAAGCCAGCCAAATGCCTTACTGCGGGGAAGCGCTCGTGAAGTATCGTATTAACCTGATAACGAGCTGCAAAGTCGGTAAAATAATAACAATATTCCATAGGTAACTGCATCATCAGCAGCAGCTGGACGGACACGGAGGTATTATTGCCACGGAGGCAGCGTGCATATAGCATTAAGGCGGGTTTCTACTACACACATTTGCCGTGTACAAGAAAAATGTTCAGCTATGTCCAACAACACGGTATCATGGTTAATCGTGTGATAACTTAACCTAACCAACCAATCACAGCAAAGGATTTCTATGCACGTACACACGTACCTACGTGTATAGTGGAAACCCGCTTTTATACACACATCGTTCATTCAACCGTGGTTCTATCGGAATGCGTCCTATCAAACCAAAGCCCCCTTGACTTACAAAATAATTTTTAAAATTTAGAATTCGATACATTTTATCAAAATTCGATCTTTAAATGCTTAAAAAAAAATTGTGCCCATGTATTTTTACATCGTTCCACTCGGAATCTAAAAGTCCCTCTGCTTTACAGTATGTTACAAGTGGGTGGCTGTAATGGATGGTATTAAATTTGAATTCAATGATTTATATCAAAAAAGTTCAAAACAAATCATAATATTTTGAAAATTTTGAAAATATTAACATGTACCTATAGAAAATGCAAATATAAAAAACCAGTGAAAATTTCATGTATATACATTCATTTGTTTTAGAATTACACCGAAAGCCAAAATCGATTTTTTACGATAACAGATTTTGTGTAAAAATTCCCGTTTTTCCTTAATTTTTTCTTTTGTTTTTCGCAGTGTGTTTAAAAACTACTAGAAAAATTTTACTTTTGACCCCCCAAAGTAATAATTAGATTCACTTTTCTATCAGAAAAGATGCTGTTGAAGAAAATCCAAGCACTTTAATTGTCATAGAACGTGATGACGGACACACAAAAAAAAAAAATTAAATAAAAAAAAAAACACACATCCTTGTAAAATCAATACATTCATCCTTCCACTCAGAATCTATAATCTGTTAAATTGAAAATATAGTCCGTAAGTTTATACTTTGCATTTGTTATTTCGAAAATTATAATTTGAACAAATCAAAGGAAAAACGGAAGTGGTGGGGGGGGGCGGGGTGATACGTGCTTAGTGAATCACCCTGTATATCATATAGGGTCATGAATACATGATTTTATCTCGACTAAGTTGTTCGAACGTGCCTCTGTATACTAGAGACGTCGTCGGCTGAAACTAATTAAACGTATAAGTCCACAGGTCGACGCCATTAATTCTACTACTTCTATTCTATAATAATAATATTATATACTGTGTTATTCAATCATTGTGCGCGAGTGTATATAAAGCCGCGATGCCTCCGTAGCAGGTATATAATATTATACCTCTGCGTCCGTCCGTCTGGCTGCTGCTTCTGGTGATGCGATGCTATAGTTACTTATGGAATATTATTATTTTACAGACTTTGTAGCTCGTTATTGGATTAATAAGGTACCCTATCCCACCTATATATATACATACATACTATACTATACTACCATACTTTGCTTTGAAGTATCGCGATACAAGATACTCGATATTTCATATAATTGTATCTAAGATA